AAGCGCGCGAAAAGGCCGGGCCGGATCTCTCTCGCGCGATTTCCTTTCGTATGCAAATCCGTGCGCCCTTCGCGCTAAAAAAACCTTTGTTCCATATTTACGCGAAAGACGCGGGGATACGCGTCCCTGGCACGTATGAATACAGCGACGGAAATTGCACCGTGGGAGGGATCGAGGGAGGGGGGGGGGGAGGGGAAGAAAGCTCTGTCGTTCGCGCTACACCGGCTACACGAGACGCTCGTATTCACTTAAATCATCGCGTACGGAAATTTATCACTGTTTTTCCTCCGCCGGAATATCGACTGGAGGGGTCCTTGGCAGGGGAAGCTCTTGTTTCCCCAGAATCCGCATGGCTGAGCATTTCCTATACGTAAGCAAACACAGAGTGCGCGGAACGGTGCCGTCTCGCATAAATATACGGACGAGATTCACGGTGGCTGATTTAGCAAACACATTTTTTGGGAGCGCGAAAGCTGAGAAGGACTCGCGTGCTTCGCGCGGCGGTGTTCTGCAATAAAATTCGCGCAGTGTGTCACCGATTACTCGCCGGGCCGCGAAATTTCTTACAGCGAATCTTCACTGGAAGAGCAGACCGAGTCATTCAAACCGCGCCGAGTGACTCTCGACTCTCGACGGAGTAAATTCACCGCTCCGAATCGTCGGATGAACATTAACATCTGCAATGGAAAAGTGAGTCTGACGCACTCCAGCAGCGTCACGGGCCGTCCGTATTCATTCTAATCGATTGAAACATTCGTTCAAACGGAACAAGAGTCCTCTCTAAATTTCAATGAGACACTTGCTCTTGCGCGATCTCGCGAGTGCCGGTATTTTCGCTATCGCTCCGAGCAAAAATACCGCCGCTTTTCACCTCGCTTTTCACCTCGACGATCAAGACTCCGCCCGCAAGAAATTTCGAGTGGAGATCATCGAGAGCCGTCGGCCGCGTGAATCGAGGAGGAAAATTTGCGGAGAATCCAACTTCGATATATCTCTCCAAGTATATTAGAAAAGTCCGGAAATGTTTACCGAAAAAATCTCCCCTCGCGTGCGGACGCGTGGGGATTAATCTTCCGCTTGATAATCACCACCATCAATCTCGCTTCTTCTTTTCGCCGGCGGACTTATTTCCCGGATCTATCATGCGCGACACACGGTCGAAGCAGGTCGTGCAGGGAGCGGCGCGCTTCTATTCGTCCGCGCGAATCTAATTGAAAATCGAGCCTTTGGCGGAACAAGAAAAAAGAAAAAAATATCCGCCACACAGGTGGTCGTATTTCGGCGAACGCGTTCGGGTCTAATAGCAAGGAATTAATCGGCCGGCCTTCCTCAAGCTCCGCTCCGTCTTCCCTCAGCTAGCTGACCGACAGCCGGCTCTCCGATGTTATTGGCGGTTTGCCACCCGCCGCGAATGCACCTTGTCGCGGTTTTAAGCCCGTCGATCTCGTCGGGACACGTTACTCTTATTCGAGGCCGCGCTTCGATCGCGTGTCGTCGCTTAAACGGACTTCTCAACGAATTTAGGAGCGTGGTACTACGGTACTCTACGGTGTGCAAGACGAGCGAAGGATCAGTTTCAAGCGCACGTTTTCCTTCACATTCCGCGACTCAAGTCCCCCCGTCCGCCCCGTGGAGCGCGTAATTTCGCGCCGAGGAAAATTGATCAGACGGACAAGCCGAAGGAAAAAGAGACCGCGGGGGGCTATTCGACTCGGCTGCCTGTGACAAGGATAAATGTACAGACAATGTTGTCTGCCACGTTCGCGAGGTACCAAATGAGCCCCGTTTAATCATAAAACGCGTAATCTGTCAGGGAAGAAAGCACGGAGGAAACGTAGCCGGAGGGGGAAACGAGACTGCGATCGATTCGATCCGACCGCGAAGGATAAACGCGCAAACTACCGTCTCTTACAAATCCCGTCGTCCTTTCATTATCCCCTCTCGCCAGGCCCGCACAGAGTAACAGCCGCCCCCCTCGATCACAGCGTGCGTTCCCGAGACACTGGGAATTCTTAACTGAATTATTCGCCCGTATTGACAAATCCGCGCGCGCGCGCGACCCGGAGAACTCGCTGCGCCCGCGAGGCCGCTCAATCAGCCGCGGTCGAAGCGTCCGCTTCGTCCGGCGAGAGTCATCAATCGTCCGCGCGGAAGTTCCCGATTCTCGAGAGCGCCGCAGAGATAATCGAATTCCGCCGGCCACTTTGAAGACTGTTGCGCGCTAATGCAGCTGCCGAGCGCGACTTATGTCCGTTTCTACCAACCGAGGTTAATTTAACCGACTGGTTATTCCATCGGAATGGATCCAATCGCATCTCATAATTCTAGTTAACGACAAATGTGACTGGTCAATTCCGTTGGAATAACCAACCGGTTAAGTTAACCAAAGAGGTTTGGTAGAAATGGGCATTAGCCGGTTTCGGCCAAGTCGCCAACGCCGCGGTTCCTCGCGCAGCGCAGCGCAGCGTTCGTTACATGTCCCGAACTTTGCGGGCTGATCTCCATCGTCCTCGAGCGAGAACGGCTTTCTTCGACGGCTTTCTTGCGACGCGTCCGCTCCGTCCGCCGTGCGGAGGCTCGATCGCAGGCCGAGCTTCCGCGGATATCGTCGCGCGTCCTGCATTCTTCTCGCGTCATTCTTGGCGCTGTCGCCGTCATTAATATCACGCCGCAGCTCCGCCCGGCGCCAGTCATAAATCATTCCGTGCTGATGCGGCGGATTCTCCGAGCGATCGTGCTCATTCTTCTCGCTCGCCGCGTTGTTTTGTAAATTTCTCTCCTCCCCCCGCCTCGCTGGGATTTTTCTGCAGCTCGCTCGCGCGCGAATTTCTCGCGCGCGACATTATTCTCCCCGGGTGACGCTGCCTGGGCAGGCGGGAGAGAGGAGAGGAAGAAATGGGCCATGATGTAATTTGGCGGAGGGGAAGAGAGGAAGGTCTCGCGCGGAGGAAACGCACTCTCTTCGCGACCCGACGCGACGGCGAGTCAGCGCCAGGCGAGGCGGCGCACAGTGGGGCTAGATGACTTTTTTGCTTCAAAATTCTCTAGAGACCTGAATTTCCGACTGATCGACACCAATGGATGAGGGGTTGATCCTGAATAAATTCCACAGAGATCTGTCTGGCCGAAATTTTGAAAAAATTATCGGTTCAGGGTTCATGGGTTTAGGGTTCGTCTGAAAAGTTTATCGTTTAAAGTACAGTGGTCTTGGGTTCGACCTCAATGGGTTCGAGCCTATGGATACTAAATGCGAGACCCCAGAACTTATAATCAACTTTTAGAAAACTCAGAATTACAAAGCTCATCAGCTCAGCTAAAAAGTTCTAGGATTGATAGATTCCTAGGTTGATGGAGACTCAAAATCCCTCGGTCTTGTTTTAAGGGGACTGGAAGATCAGTTTACTGAAAAATCGTGTTTGTTTTTTGATAATATTTTGTGACGTACTGAATAAATGTGCAAGAATGGAAATTTTTGATATATTTATACAACATATGAAGAGTAGAAAAATTTTGTTTATTAACAAATATTCACATAAATATACGTCCACTTAAATTTTAAACGCGTTTCTCTCGAAATTTTATTGTCCAACTTTTCGCAGTGATTTCTCCGAAACTGAGCTGCGTATCGATTTGAAATTTTAAAGCAATGATATTTGTTCATCTGGCTCTCAGGTGAACCATGGACTACTCCGTCAAAATATTTCATTTCGGGATATTAATTTTTTTTATTGTAAAAGAACTGAAAATTTTGAATTTTTTTCTAATAATAGCTGCCATTTTGTTAATTTTGTTTGATTTTTTTTTATAGTGTTTCACCGGATAATGGATAAGACTCCTTAAGATTTCTAGCTAAAATTCGCTCTGATCGGACCACCGAGAGCCGAGATATTACTGCAAAAACGACAACTTGAAAAAAAAAGGAGAGTATATTTCAGCTATATATATATCGTATATTTATATGAGTACTTGTTAATAAACAAAATTTTTCTACTCTTCACATTCTTGCATATTTATTCAGTTCATCGCAAAATATTGTCAAAAACAAGCACGATTTTTCAGCAATCTGACTCTCCAGTCCCCTTAACGAGTCTATATTTGATATTTTTGTATCTTGGACATATGCGTTTTGGATTAATGGGTTTCTGGCTCAAAATCTGGTTCAAGATAAATCTCGAGATGTCTGTTGATTGGTTTCATAGTTTCAATCCGCTGAATACGCTATTAGATAGAAATAAGTGTCGAATAATGAGTATTTCACAAGTTTCTCGCGTTTAACGATAATTTTTCCTCTTTTGGGGCTAATAATTCGAGAAAAAAATTTTTTTCAAACTTTGGCAAGACAGATCTCTTCGGAATTTATTCAGGATCAACCTCATCCATTGGTGTCGATGGAAATTCAGGTCTCTAGAGAATTTTGAACCAAAGAATGTCATCTGTACGGCGGCCAGGAAACGTCTCGTCGCGTTAAGACAGGCTCGCGCAACAAGTTCGAGCATCACCGAGTCTCAGGTCGAGTCGTCTCAGGGCCGCGTATCTCTGCGCATAATCGAAAACGCGGAGACGCAATTTCGCTCTCGGATGCAGCAGCAGCAGCAGCAGCAGCAGGTCGCGCCCTACCTCGGGCTCAGGTCGGCTCTGTCAATCGGCAGATTACAATGACGATACGCGGGTCCGAATTTGCCCGGGAGATTCCATAATCACGGAGAGCCCGCCGGATCGGATTTCGCGGACGAGCGGCGAAAAGAGAAGCAAGGACGAAGGAAGGGTGCAGCAGTCGAGAACGCTTTCGTGCGACTTTCGATCACGCCTCAGCACTGAACCCCCCTCGATCTAGGCTAGTCGGCGATCTAGCTGAAGCCGAACCTAACCTAACCCCCCAGCTGCGTTCCGCGTCCCGAGGTGATAGAACGATACGTTAGGCCCCCGCGTTAGGCGCGCGCGAGTGCTGAGGTGAATGTTGACGCAATGTTGATGTGTGATTTTTCGACCTGTCCATGCAGGAGTGACCATTCTGCTGTCGCTGACAGTTTTCCTGAACCTCGTGGCAGAAAGCATGCCGACGACCTCGGACGCTGTCCCTTTAATAGGTACCTATGATTGTCAAGCAACGGTAACTCGCATTTGGCAAGCGTGTTTTTACAAGGTGTCTGTACATACAAATACATATATACATATATATTATACATGTATATATATACATATCCGTCATAAACTCGAGGCGCGCCGTGACCCGAGCTTGCGTCCGAGCAGCTCCTCTCACTTGGCGACGCCAAGAAGGGTCGCGTCGCTGATATAGCAAAGTATCGCAATTGTAAGAAAACAAACGGAGCATCGCTTGCAAAACGGAGTCCACGGGTCTCCGAATAAGCGCGCTCTCTCTCTTGTTCCAAGTTCTCCGCCGTCGAGGAGACACTCGGAGACTCGTCGCGACGCAGTTGCGTCGACAGTCTCTCAAAGTAAAGTCGCGCGAGATCCCACGTGGACATTACCACGGAATCAGACGATGCAACGGCGCGCCCCGCAGACCTTATCGCCTGTCCTTTGCGTAAATCCTACGAAGCCTCGAACGAAGTGACACAACGCGTACACAAGTAGTGAAGTGGGAGATCGAAGTCGAGGGTAGTCTAGGATGACGAGCGAGAGACTCGGGTACTATCGCGTTTGGATAATGAGCGCTCCGAGGCGAGTTCGTGAAGACCGACCGACCGAGGCAAGCAAGCAAGCAAGCAAGCAAGCAAGCAAGCAAGCAGGCAGGCAGGCAGGCAGGCAGGCGAGCAAGCCGAATCGTTTCTCCCGAAAGGACCGGCGTATATATTCGAGCAATGTATCGCTCCTAAAGAGAGCCTGCTCTCGGGAAATGGTTGGGAAATAAAAGATCGCCGCGGGAATCGGGATTATACGTTTCCCGAGAGTCGATAGCTCTCCCTTCCACGCGCTTCCAGTTTCCTCGCTTTCTCTCTCTCTCTCTCTCTCTCTCTCTCTCTCTCTATTCCCTCCCCTGGGACTTATTATCCCGTATCCCGCTCTTAATTTCTCCTCGGCCCAGGATTACGCTTAATTTCGCGAGCTCGTGTTATCTCTATCCGCGAGAAGGAGCCGGTCCGTCTTCGATGAGATCTCGACCGGCAGCCGAGCGGAGAGCTGGAATCGTCAATCTTTACGTCGTTTTCCGCGAGAATTATTCGCCCGACGAGATTATTAAAGTTTCGCGATTACGCGCGCCAGGCAATCTCGCTTCATTTCGATCCGTCGCGTCGCGGCGACACTTTTCCTCCACCACCCCTCCTGCTCCTCGGGGGCTGCTGGATGAAGGAGACGGCCGACTGGCCGGCTGGCTGGCTGGCTGGCTGGCTTCCTGTCACGGCGACCCTCGGGGTGTACGCGCGCGTGTATCCTGCGCTACCGCGCGCAAAGGAGGATGTCGCGGATTAACGTGGAAAGCTTGCAAATCCCGCTGCCGGTTATCGCATTTCGGCGATGCGGCCCGGCGGAGAGAATACACCGTGTCTCGGCTGACGAGGACGAGACGAAGGACGTTGTAGGACGCCGATCATCCGGCGCCGGCACGTTAAACTCGTCAAACGGGATTTTCCGTGGCTAATGCCAGTCGCGTCGCGACCGCCGTCCAAGTTTCCCGGCGGAGGGAGAGAACGAGCTGCCCTTCGTCCGGGAAAATCCGACGTGGCGATAAACGAGAGGTCGCGCCTTATACCTCTTCGCCGGGAAACGTCGCGAGCGTTCTTCTCTTGTCTCTCTCCCTCCTTTCGTCTTTCTTTCTTTTTATCGAAGCGAGGAAACGACATTTCCGTCGCGTCGCGGGCGAAGGTATGAAACGTTTCAATTAGTGATATAAATGGATTGCTCAGTTTAATCGAAATGTAATAGGGTGGAGGGAAAAAAAAGCAGAGAAAGAGAGAGAGAGAGAGAGAGAGAGAGAGAGGGAATAATTCGTCTCGAAAATCGTCTCTCATCTCAGACCGAAAGAACGAAGTCTCGAAGTCGAAGCAAAAGCGTAGATAGCGTCTCGCGTTGCAATATTTAGATGGCCGCAATTATCGTCCGGAATGGATCATTCGGCGGCGCGGGGAGTCATAAACGCAAAGTGACGAGCACCCGGGGGATGTAATGCTCGCAGAACGCGATCCGATTTCGCTCGTACGCGCACAGCCGGCGCGCTCATTCGCGAATGGCAAAACGCAAGGGGACACACACATGGGATGTGCCGAGATCTTTTATGTACAATTTTATTTTTACGCTTGCATCGATGGCGACCGTTACGTCGGGGCGGCAAGCAGTAAAGCAAGATGTGAATGTCACGAATAAAATCCGACAAACGAGCCGCATTACGTGCCGTCGCGTCAACGTCAGCGGCGACGACAATCAAATAGATTACGAATTAAGTTTACGCTCGCAAATGGCTCTCTCTCTCTCTCTCTCTCTCTCTCTCTCTGTCAGTCTCTGTTCTTACGGTGCGTGAAATTTATTTGATGACACTCAAACGCGGATCCTGAACGGCTTCGGAGCAACGTGTCGAGCACTTTCGTCGATCTCATCGCGTTTACGCGCTCGTTACGAAGATACTCGCATCCTTGATCCTTACGCACCGAATTGGTTACCTCAGCCCGCGCGACATATAAAAATATTTTACCGCCCTTGCGTCCTCGCTCCTTCGCTCCTAGATAGAATTTGTCCCCGAAATTTCGTTTCTGATCGTACCAAGCTTGAAAACCTGCCCTCGTAGAACGAAAGTATGTCTTATATATATATATATATATATATAAGACGTTCGTACATATATATATATAAATATAGTGTTCTATCACGTTTTTCGTCTAAGTGTCCCACGCACACATGCATACACATCCACCTGACTCGCTGTTGACTCCCTCCCCCGTCCCAATAAACGGCGGCGTGCCGAACAAGCGCGCACGAAATGCGCAAAGCAACGTAAATTTGGTGTGCGACTCGTTGTCTCTTTGTTTTTCAAAGCCAACGAAAGACGTGCTCGATGTACAAATGTTCGTTATTAGCGCAGCCTGTTGCATAATCTACACAGTCCGCCCCGCTCGCGACTTTGGCGATGAAATAATTGTTCTCTACCGCCTTTATACATATGTATATATACACATACATGTAAGTCTCGCACGAAAGAAGTCGACACGCACGCGTGTCGACGGGGAAACGTATAACCCCGACGAGCCCGCGGCGGACTCGGTGCTCGGCTGGTTGGTCGGCAAACGGATCGCAAGGGTCGAGATGGTCCATCCGCGATATTAAATATATAACGCGACGTCGATACGGACGATACGGACGGCGAAAGCCGCGGAGATCGTGGCTTTTGCATTTTCAACGGCGCGTCGTCGCGCTCTGAGCATCCTAGGCTACCTCTAACAGGTGAGACACGAGAGAGACGCGAATGTGAGCCGACGACTTCACACACGTTCGTGACTTTACACCACGCACAAGAGGTGGCTCGAGGAGAGGAAGAAGAGGGATTCGATTGGGTATAGTCTGACTTAATTAAAGTTCGCGCGGCGAGCCGCAATAGAATAACCGTTCCACACGCGGCAGGAAAATCGAGTCGCAAATCGATCGATTTTCAGACACCGCTCGCCTCTGTTGTACGACGAGAGGAAGAAGAAGAGGAAAAAAGGGGACCCGCACACGTAAAATATACACACACACACACACACACATACACACGCGCGCGCGCGCAGGGGAAGCAGCCCCTGTTGCTGCTACGTACTTTCCCTCGGGAAAGAAAGTTTAATTAAAGTCCGTGGCTGGGATAAATGCGCCGCGCGATGCATCTTAAAACAAACCCCACGAGAGTGAACGGCGCTGAGCACAAATTCGTTTAGGCGCTATCCCGTTCCCGCGAAGCGCCCTTTTCCGCCCTTTCCCAGGGCGACTCGACCACCCCGGTCGCTTCCTCCGGCGACCGAAAGTGTCACGGAGAATCGCATCCCGTTGTCAACGATTCACTTGTGCAAAGAAAGAGGGAGAGATATACATGTGGAAAGAGATTGTGTATGTGGTAGGCAGGGTGAGAGGGGGGAGTGAGAAAGAGAGGAAGAGACGGAGATATGGAGTGAGAGAGAGAGAGAGAGAGAGAGAGAGCGAGAGAGGGGGAGAGGGATCAAATCATCAGCCACGACCTCCCGTAAGCCGGGATCACCAAGAAGTTTCCGCCGCTCCTCCTTAATTAGCGAGAGCTAGCGGCGCAAGAAACTACGCGCGAGGACATCTCAGTTTCTAACGAGTGTTCGGCGAGAACGCCGTCGAGAACACCGTCGACGCACCGAGCGAGTCTCGAATCGGTTCTTAATTAGCGCGCGGCGCTGCGACGCGAGTCGCCGATTCTCCGCTGCACGCGTCTCGCGATCGAGACGAGAGTCGAGCTTCGTCCGAGAAGCAGGTGAGAACTCCGTCGGAACAGCCGAGAGCAAGCATCTCCGTCGGCACGTGATCGACACGAGAAACACGCGCTTCATTCCGCCTCGCGAAGCCTCGAAGCTTTCGAAGCCCGAGAGCGGCGACGCTCTCTCTCCTTCCTTTCGCGCGATCCACTCTTCGCCGGCGCGTTTAGAAGCGCAATTCAGCGAGGAAGCGCATCCCGGCTATTCTCGCCGGCCGAACCGGGCGAATCGGCAACAGGTATCCCGCCGACGCGGCGCGTCCACTGTGAAGATTCGCAGCGTCATCGAGATTAGAAAGCCACCGATTAGTCGCGGCAGTTTGGTCCGCGGGAGCAGCGGCGGTCGCTTCCTCTCCGGCGACGCGAGAGAGGAGCCTGCTGCCGCTGCCGTGAGTCACGGCACTCTCGGTTGAATGAAATCGCACTAATTTGGCGGCAAACAGTCGCTGCTAATTATATGCCTCCTCGCGCGGAGTCGCGCGGAGCCTCTGTCGGCTCGGCGAATTACGCAGTCGAGATAACGCGCAAAGCTGCCGGTTTGCCGAAGCAATCAACGGCGGTAATGAGTGGCTGCCTTGACTTTCCACCCTTGGCCGATCGAACTTGGTCGTTACTCGCGCCACTTGTCGTCGCGCGGACGACAACGTCTGCGCTGCCGCTGCCACGCGA